TGTGTGTGTGTGTGTGTGTGTGTGTGTGTGTGTGTGTGTGTGTGTGTGTGTGTGTGTAAAGGCCACTAAGTAAAGCATATGTGTTACTAAATTTGTCACACTACAAAGACGTTACTTGTTATCTTTAAGTATGTGATATAAAGAGGGACCCCTTTATGTCCTTTAAGTCTTCCACAAAAAGAAAATATGTTCATATTTTATTCATGCGATAAATATGATTGACTTCACCGTGTGAGTTTGGTGAATTGTTTGTTTCTCCCAGGGGAACAAAGGTGACCCTGGAATCTCACCTGGACCAGCACCCAAAGGAGAGAAGGTATAATATCCTCCCTATACTTATTTTCCCCATTAATTTGTAATGATGTCCTGGGTGGCTCTAAGCGCATTTCTGATTGCTGTGTGTGTGACCTCACTTTCCTCCACACTTGGCCTTTAAACATTCCCACTTTGTATTCCAGGGAGACTCGGGGATCATTGGCCCAGTTGGAATGATTGGCCAGCCAGGTCGAAAGGTAAGACTTGAACTGCTAATGTCCTTCCAGAGCTTCTCAAAACCCTTTCATCAAGTTTACTTTCAGTAAGCTGAAGTGAATTGTTCTTAAACGCCTATTTACCAACTAAAAGGCGAGCAAAGCGTTTGCATCTGCAAACTATGAGGCGAGGCCCGAGGCAATGCATGAGTCACAATGTGTATTGGTAATGTGTCTGTGTGTGGTGTTGTTTGTGTATAACCTGCTCATCTTTGTAAAAGTATCTCTACTCATCTTCTGCTTCCCAATTCTCTCCATTTTTGTTTTTCCTTTTTGTGCTCACCAGTTTGTTTAGTGGATCCTGCAGAGATCTGGCAGGAAGGCTGCCACAGGAGATAAAGGGGTCAGACTTTTTTTCAAAGGGGAAAAGAGAATGGGAATCATGCACTCAGTCATCAAATTGCTAGTGTCTTAAATCTTACTTAAGGCACGGCTTGAGTGATTCATAAGTCCAAGGAAGTAAAATGTAGGGCAGACCTTCTGGTAGACAGAAGTGTAACAAGCACAGACTGAGATTAAGACCAAGTTGAATGTCTGGGTTGTGTATGTGTCTCTGTGGGCATGAATGCATCCCTGTGTGCTTATCTTTGTGAGCGTTACTTGTTAATACTTGTTCCCTGAGGGCGCGTCAGCAGTTGAAGTTTAAGTGAACGAATTTTGGCTCAGTACATGTGGAAAAGATACAAACAATCAGCCAAATGCAACGTGTCAGAATTAAATGTGGTTTCTTGGTTCGTGGTTAGAGAAAGGATGCAACCCATTCCCATTCCCTAGATTCATATTTTAACTCTAGGGGAACCACCTTTAACATCATTTTCCAATATACAGGGTTACGTTTTAGCATTGCCAATGTGAGAAGAACAGAAAATTTAGGGTCCGAATTTAAAAGTAGGTTGGGTGGTGAATGACTGGGGCTCCTTTACGTTCACTCTCTATTTTTGACTTGCAGTTACATTCAAACAACTAAACTCTGTGGTTAGATTCAGGGGGAAAGTTAGGGTTGTCGTGTTGAACACACACTAAGAGCCCCATTTTTCCCATCTGCGTCAGGTTTCCTTCGATACCGTGGTTACGCATCCTTGGTTAACATAGTTACCCATTCTGTAACAGTGACTACGTCAGTGGACTGCTTTTTCCCCTTAATCAGCGTTTTAAACTCTACTCCACTGAAAAGTTGCAAAACGATGTAAAAATTGCCCAGGTTATTACAGTGTAATATGCTAGGTACCTGATCAAGTGTCGCTTTGTAATGACTTAGGAGTGAGGGCAGATTGAGGAACAAAACTTTGGCTGTAAAGACTTTAACTTGTAAACAATGTAAACTTAGTTATGAAGTCATATAGCACAGTGAATAAACTACGAAAGCTAGAATAAAGGAGTGGAGCCTGACCCACAGTTTCATATAGTAGTGCCAAGTAAACTCCAGCTGATGGCAGTTAATTAAATTGAATACCTCTGAAATATGACAGATATAAACAAAGACCGCATGTGAGCCAGAAAAATGTTGGGAACCACTTCAGTTTAATCTGTGTGCTCGCTTCCAGTCAGCATCAAAATAGTTCCTTTCACCCTTTTTCCAAGTAAACTGTTGCAAACATATGTCTAATAAATGAAAAGAAGATCCTATTAAAAGCTTCCAATCACATCATGCATCAAATGCAGCTGAGCCGTGCAGATGTCTTAAACAAATTAGGTCAGTAATTGAATAGTGCAGGTTGACTGTATGCCTTTCAGACTAGGTGTAAAGCACTTCTGGCTGTATTTACTTTCTTCCCAGAGCCACAGTGCTCTGTAACACAGTGTCAGACTTCAGCCGGATGGCTACCTCGGGCTCAACATATGGCTTTTGTTAGGTGTCTGCTTTTCTGTGTGTGTTGTGTGTGTGTGTGTGTCTTAGTCCATTTGTATGTCGCTGCCTCTCTCTTTCACACACACTCAGCCAGAATGGAAACAAATAAAAATGTAAGTCTGGTGAAAAACATTCACAGATTCCTTTAAAACTAGCAATTTGAAGATTTATCAAGAAGTTAGTGCCTTTTAACTTGGCCAAGGGTGACTACACAGATTAGGTCAGATTATTTAAGACAGTGATTTGTTTGTTAGCCTAAATGTAAGATCACTTTAAAGTATGCACTGTATACTTATTTTTTTACCCTCGACAGCACTTTCCGCTTATCTGCATTCAGTCCAGAGGTGGAGCAAACTGCTTTAATAAAACCCAAGGGCACATTATAGCTCGAATTATCAGAATGACATCATAGACTCCTCACTAGGGGAGCGTAACCATAGCAACTTCATCCACACACA